ATGATAATAGAGAGAGATTGAGAGAGAAATGATGGATGGATGGATGGATGGATGGACAGACAGACAGACGGATAAATAGATATTGGAAGGGAAGCTATTCACTCTTCCCTGACTCAATGTAGGAAAAGATGGAAACTTACAGGCAGTGCTGGGATAAAGATCATGACATAAACCTGAGTGAGCCTGGAAAGACAAAAAAAAAGGCATTAATTTCCGATGATCCGATTCTGCCGCCATATTCACGGCTGCCTTAAAAATCTCATGTGCTTTGATGTAGCCTCTTCCGGCATCACATTGTGAGCTAAAGTAGGCTCTTTGAAGACATCCCTCAAACTTTGAAGAATAAATTTTAAAAACTGTGTTTTTTGTTTAAAAGATGAAGTCTTCTCTATTAAATTCAAAAGGTCCCGTTTTGTGGTAAATCTTATGAGGGGTGATCTGACTTCGTGAAAGACGAGACATTTTGAATGGATGCTCTTTACCGATTTTCATTTTGAAAAATCTTAACTGATGTTCACTTACAAAGGAGAATATTTGTAGCTTGGGTTGAACCATGGAGACCTTGGTACCCTCTGAGCTTGATGGTTTTCTTGTAGACGTTTCATTACCAAACTAGGTAACATCATCAGTGCTAGTAAGAAGTAAGGAGGTGCTTGGGTCTTTTTGTTCATTTTTGGGTGACGTTTTTTAAAGGCTATGCAAAAGAGCCCAAAAGAGCACCGTGGGGTGGGGTGGACATTCCACCAGAAATCAGCATCCAGATCAACATAAATTAACTCCAAGGTTAAGATCAGATCAACAATCAAGTAAAACAATCAAGGAATTGCCAAAGAAGCCAAAGCAAACTGACAGCAAGCTCCATTCCTTACTAGCACTTGATGATGTTACCTAGTTAGGTAATGAAACGTCTGCAAGAAACCAAGCAAGCTCAGACAGCACCAAGGGCCCCTCATGATTTTAATTTTGATGTCCTTACTCGATGTCAATTTTGAATGAACGTTCTTAATTCATGTGAATTTTGAATGAATGTTTTTAATTCACATGCATTTTGAACGGATATTCTTGACTGATTTGAATTTTGCGGGGGATTTTTTTTTTTTCCAATTGGTGCGAATTATGAATGACACTCTGAATTGAGGTGAATTTTGAACAGATGTCCATTATAGATTTGAACCTTGGACGGTTTCTTAATTGATGTGAGTTTTGAAGGGCTGCCGTTTCTTGATTTGAAATGTTCAGTGATTTTCTACATTAATGTGAATTTTGAATATTATGTTCCCAACGGATGCCAATTATGAATTTTTAACAAATAATCTTACTTGATGTGAATTTGGAATGGATATTCTCAGGGGCGTGGGATTCTCCCGGTTCGGACCGGTTGTATAGAACCGGTTGTTATGATTCTGCGCGGTTTGGAGAACCAGCAAATCGTGACCCTGGCTGGCCCCGCCTCTCTCCGCCCACCTCTCCCTTCCTCGCCCAGTCAGTCCTTATCGTGCATGCACTGTCTTACTACTTCGGCCAGGAGGCTTCCCTGAGACCCAGAAGGCCCCCAAAATGGGGGGAGGGGGAACGTGCTGCCAAAAAAAGCCACTCCCACCCAGTCACATGGCCACGCCCACCTAGCCACGGCCACAGAACTGGTTGTTAAAAAATTTGGTGGCCGTGGCTCCGGAGGTAGTTTAAATGTGGTCTTCCTAAGTCCTTATAGAGTAGTGGTCCCCAACCTTTTTTGTGCCACGGCCCGGTACCGGCATCACAAAATGATCCACGGCTAGGCACTGGCATCAGCATACATGACAAGGCAAGGCAAGCCGAGAGACTGGCCAGCCAGCCGTCCCCCGCTTTTCCCCGCCATCTTCAACTCCTCCTTTGTACCTTTGTCGATGGGCTTCGCTTTGGGACGGCTTTGGGACGGTCGCTTGGCTTGCCTTGCCTTGGGTGCTGAAGGAATCCTCGTGCCTTAGTTTCGTTCGAAGCCCCCCCCCCTTCGATGAAACTAAGGCGCGAGGATTCCTTCAGGACCCAAACGCCGCTTTCCAACCAGAAAAGCTCACCCGGAAGCACTTTCTCGTCAAACAAGATGGCGGCGCCCAGCAAACCGGTGGCCCGGTAAGAAATGGTCCACGGCCTGGTGGTTGGGGACCCCTGTTATAGAGTGGCATTAGTCCCTCCCTTGATCTCTTTTCTCACCTGGAGACTTCCGGATCCTGCCGGATTAGCAACAGAAGCTGTTCTGTATTGATGAAAAATGCCCAGCACGGGAAACAGCAGAGGAGAAGAATCAGGATGCCTTGTTGGAGGATGGTGCCCACCCGTTTCATGTTCTTCCCGCCGTAAGTCTGGAAGAAGAAGGGGAAAGGCCAGAGGCACACGTGAATGGCCAAGGAAAGGAATTTATTGCTGAAAGCCTATGTACAGGAATCTTCTGGACCAATAGGTTAGCTTCGGCCCGGAGCTATGTAAGGATCAATGGAATTCAAGGAAGGCAGCACTTGGTTTGTTTGTGGCTATGTAAGGATGCTAGGTTGATTCCTGTTTTGACTCCACCTCCAGGATCTGTCAGTCCTTCTCCTATAGCTGCTCTTTGATCTCTGTCTATATCTGTCAGTCTGTCAGTCAGTCAGTCAGTGTCTATCTATCTCTATCATCTCTATCTACCATCTCTCTCTCTTTATCTACCAATCTAAATATATCTGTAATCTATATTTATCTC